GGGGGAAGAGCATTTCTGGGGATGTATTTAGCTTCTTGCAGTGGTTTAACAGTTAAAAGAAAAAAAAAAATCCATCGGGAAGAAGGGTGAAAGCATCCCAGTGAGAGGTTTGTCGCCACCTCCTTCCTGGGACTCTTGCTGCACCTGGCTGCCTCTGCAGTTCCCAGCACAGCTCCCCAGCACTCAGGACATTCATCCTTTGGGATGCAGCAATCCTGGCTGCTGCACCAGCAACACCTGAGCCCTTGGCACGCTCATGTCACCCCAGTCCAGCACCATCCAGTTCTTGCAGTCAGCAGACATTCGGGTGAGCGGAGGGCAGTGGGGGAGCCAGGCTTCTGCTCCCCAGCCTCTCCCACTCTTTCAGGCTGTTTCAGTAAGGATCAGGTCTACCTGGATGGGATTCTCCGCATCCTACGCCATCGGCAGACCATTGACTTCCCGCTGTTGGCTGCACTTGGAAAGGTAACAGCCAGGGCAAGGGGGGAGCAGCTGATCCCAGAGCCCCATGCTGGGCTGATCCCAGAGCCCTGTCCCATCCCAAAGCCCACACGGGCTCCCACCATCCCATGTTCTCCTGAAAAACAAGTGCCTGGCTAGAAGCCCTTCAGCTCTTTGCCTTTCCCTGCACGTATGGGTTTCAGTGGAGCAGGGGAAGGCTGTGCTGGGTAGGATGCAAAGACAGACAGGACAATTTCTCCAAGGGGAGACCCTGGAAGGGGGGAAGCTTAACCCAGCAGGTAAGCCCTGCCAGCTGCACTGCTGGCCCTCTGCCTTGGCCATAGCGGTCCTGGTGTCACCTGTCCCTGCAGCAGCGACAGAAAAAAAATGCCCAAAACCACAAATCCTTGCAAACACCTCCCCAAGCAGCTCTGCTGGTGCCTCCCTGCAGGCAGGAGGGTGTTTAGGCAGGGGTTGGGTGACCCTGGCGGGCTGCCAGGGGGGGCCAGACCCCTTCCTTGGATTGCTGACCCCCATCTCCCTGCTTCCCATCAGGTCTCCTATGAAGATGTGAATCGCCTGAAGAAATTTGGGGTCCTGGAGAAAGCCCGCATTCCCCATTTCATGCAGGACCTGGAGCGGTACATGAAACAGCTGGACCACATTGTCGCTACCAATGGCCTGAATGAGGAGGAGCTGGAGCAGCTGCTGCCTGACTGAGGGGCAGCCCCCACCCCACACCAAACTGGTGGCCCAGGGCTGTAACTGGTGCTGGTTACTGGATATTTATTGGGGCTGGAGCCTGGGGAAGAGGGGAGAGCCTAGGCCGCTCCCCTGCACCTGGGCGGCCGCTGTGCATGTATGGCTGTGTAGGGTAGCACGGCTGAGAGGGCCGGTGTTGGTTAGTGTTGATGTGTTTCCCCACCACCACGCCCACCCCC